GATTTTAAATGAATTGCTCTCCATGCAGTGCAATAGGACTTAGGTTTAATTTTTCGAAAGTTGTGGAGCCGCCCCCGGTGTCCGGCCTGGCCAACTCTCTCAAGAACCGACAGCTAACGGAACACTGAAGTTTCACTACGACGATTTCCGCCAAAGTTATGAAGAAAAGGCAAGTGCAAGAAGTACATAACTTCTCTTGGTAATCAAAACTTAGGTTTGGCAAATTCCAAACCCTAAATCACTACAACTGTGGATATAAATAAGCTGGTTATTGACGGCCAAGCTCTGGCCAATCTGAGGTTCAGACCTATCATCAAGTTCATGAGGCAGCTGCGGTTGGGCGGCTCACGGGCTCCACTGCATAGGCTCAGACAGGTACTCTGCAAAATGTCTTCTGTGTTCTTAGGTTCAGATCTATCGATATGTGCATGCTTCTGATTCGATTGATAACTGTAAACGGGCGCTGGAAGTGAAAGGTTCGCTTGATATACGAAAGGTGCATTGCAAGAAAGCACATTATTTCAGAAATACACTTTCATTTTATCTTGAGCGTTTTTGGAATGGGCTGGATGAATTCGTCATCAAACCGGTAAGGGATTTCGTTTGAAGACCACCGATATTTAAGAATATGATGGTCTTCAAACGAATTCGCTGGCAAATTCCATGACTGGATTGGGCGGCGTAGGATCTGCTGGTCATTTGACTATGGGTTGATTAGGGCCTAGTTTTGACCTAGTTTGAGCTTCATTCGTTAAGTAGAAACAAGACGATGCTTCTTTTTAACATCGTCACTGAACAAGCCGCCCTCGTTTTGACATTGTTTTTCGTTATTATTGTTACTAGGTACTTTGTTATCATACACAGCATTAACGAGGACCTGCTTCCAAAACAAGGCAGAAACGCTCCAGCTATTTTTGGGACGTGGTAAAAACTAACCGACACCTGGTAACTGTCATCTGACGAACACAAAACAAGCCAGGGGCTCGCAGCGTGTGTCAAAAGTAGGATGCAAAACTAGTCTGTACCCCCGACATTTAGCGTTGAGAATCATTTGACGAGGGGCTAGTCAATATTTTTTACAGTGTAGCTTCCCTCGAGTTTTGCTCAAGTTAACTTCTGGCACTGATGAATTACACTGACGCTTATTCGCTTCATATTTTGTAACAAACGCGCTAAAACTGCAATATAACAACACTATATGCTTCTTGACAAAATGCAAAAGTAGTAAAAATTTAGCCCTGGTGGCATTCATTCTTGGTGGAAACGTAATTACAAAATATTTTATATGATTTCAAGCTTTTACGACTAGACATCTTAATTCAAGGAAGGTAAGTTTTTCGGCTACTAGTCGTTTATTGTTTTCGTTTCTAACGAAACGAACGTTCAGAAACGAAAACAATAAACGACTAGTAGCCGAAAAACTTACCTTCCTTGAACAAAATATTTTGTAGCAACTATTGAATTCCGGCCGAAAACAGTGCACGGTTTAAGAAAGAATCATTCCAATGACGGTCCATTCTTGCGGTCCTGAAATCGCCACTATTTCCGGCCTCTCCAACGCAACTCGTTGTCCAGACGTAAATATGCATTATTCGTTAGCTCAGATTTTCGTCTCAATCACCAAAAAGGAAAACGTCCATAAGACCTAAAAACGTCGATCATCCTTCATGTAACACAAACATGAATAAGGGATTTTCTGCATCGCGACAGCATGATAGATGTCCGATGAATGCAAAACGACCATGCAGTCATGTACTTACATGGTCGACAATGAAACATGCCCGTCTGTCTGTGAACCAAAGCAAACATCCTTGCGATCTCCACAGCGCGTGCAAATAATACAAACGTAAAACGAGCATCACTGAAATGCTCCTGGTGAGTCATGCGGGGAACTCTGTCAGATTTCAACTGAGACGAGTCGGGCGGACCGATGGACCGGGCCCGTAAGGCTTGGGTGACGAGTCTGGGTTTCAGAGTGAGGCCTGTGTGACCCGTGCTCGGTCGGATGGCGGTGGTATCATATATATTACACACAGCCGGTAGTGCATGAGGTCCTTCGAGCATGGTCAGGAAAGCTCTCTTCGGCCGGCCCGCCGTCGTAAGGTATTATCAACACCCGGGGTTAATGCGTGTTGCTATCCCCCACTTCGACAAGCCGCATGACCTCGCCCTTCCAGAATCACGGACTTTACATGAGTAAATGTGAAACTGATCGTGAAACTATAGGAAGTCCATGTCATTTCCAGCACCCCGGATGCATGACTGGTCGCGACCTCTGACCAAAATCCCTACTGCCGCTTCAGACCACCAGGATGGTTGACGTGTCACGGGTCAGCTCGCTTGCGCTCCGATCAGAGACTGCTGATGTTTAGTCTGTCAACGGGGGCTACTGGGCGAGCGCCGCCGCCGTTCGCGGACGTCGCATTGCCACTGGTTGCCGTTTGTCGCACGTCGTTGTGGGTTATGGCAAACACCGCTGTCCAAACGTCGTAAGGTAGTCAGCGGTAGATCGGTGCGCTCCCGCACGGCAAACGAGGGCGCCACTAGGTGGCAGGCTCCCCTCTGAGCCCCCAGTGGTGACAGCGAGTCAGCCTTAGCAGCAGAGGTCGCTTCGCTGCAACGTCTCTCTTTCACCGGTGCAGTGTTGGCGTAACAACAGCTGCAAAAATAACAACTGAGAGAGTAGCACACACGGTTGACAGGTGACTTCACCAATCACCGTCCATCACACTTTGAGCAGATGCCGTCACCTTTTGACTCGTTTAGAAGCTGAACTCAGTGGACGTTGCACTGAGGCAACAGGCTACCCCAGTTCCCCAGCGGGCTGTCTGAGCGTTGGATCGTCGGCCGCAGTGTCAGATGCCACTCAGCCGGCCGGCGGCCGCTCTTTACGGCTTCACTTGAGCTCGTGTCACACAATCTGTGAGGGCCAGTTCAGACCATCAGCGGTGATCATGGCAATGGCTGGTGGCAGCGGGCCGGGCGCCACTGGAGGAGCGCTTGCAGCGGCCGCCGCCCACACCAGCAGCGCCCGGGGAGCAGCTGTTCTCCATGCAGTGCAGTAGCCGGCAGGAGCTACCGGCGGCGGCCAGTCGGCGGCTGCCCACGCCAGTCCCAGACGATGACACAATCTCCGCCGCCGTAAAACGCTCGTAACATTTGAAATAGTGGGACTGCTCCATCTAAAGCATGGCCTCAATGTTTATTTCACTTGCTCCAAGGACTCGGAGATTTGCTTTTGGGCATATGATATACGGTATTCGTACTTGGAGGTGATCGTTCAATGCACCAGAGCCTGCAGAGTGCAGACTGTGACATACAATTCGAACGATACGAGTAGGGCGCCGGTGAAGCCAGTTTCGGCTCCCGCTAGTGTGACAGCAGGTAGAATACCACACCTTCTGGCAGACCTAGGCGGATCATAATGAATGTGACATGACTTACATAATGACAAGGCCACAGTTGAAATCGGCTGAGCCGGCCAAACGCGCACAAAATCTTATTCCGCCCTGACAATAAAAAAGTGCAATGCTCAATTTCCAAGCTATTAAGCGCAAAAATACTTCGCACACAGGGAACGACGACTTCAAAGCTTAGCGTGCATTTTAATCGGTCGCTGAACCATCACAGAAGCAAGTTATGTTCTTACGTCACCCTGCAGATGATAATTAAAGTCGAGAGCGTCATGAATTGACGGGCTTCGTAAGTGTTATGTAAATTTCCAGACCAGTAGAATAAGTCTTTTTCATGATGCCCTACACATTAGAGCCGTCTCTGCGAAGATGCATTGGATGATTGGTGAACAATATTGGTATGCAGTTTATTTGTAGTTTGAGGCATCCACGTAAAAAAAGTCCGCGACACGCGCGATGGCACGAAGTGATTGCAGCGGGCAAACTTTGTGCATCATTATAACATTATTATAAAGGCTCTCTGAATCACTACCCGTGTGTGCCCGGCTTGATGCTGCTGTCACTATCATCATCAGAGATCTTCTGGTCAAATAACTACCCCTTTATATGTATAATGCGCCCCTTGAGGGCGCAATCTACACACATTACGGCCATTAAATCTGGTATGTATCTGTCAAGTTAAAAAATGATGTCCATCTCCGTTTGGCTTGTAGCCGTGACAAAGTGGCGCCCTCATTAAGTGGGTTCGAATTTCTTGCCCGTGCGAACTGCGCACGTGAGCGTTGGTACACTTAATTTCTAGAGGCATTCGGTTACACATAATTTTTGTAGCCCTGATGTGCTATCGTAATGCATAGCTACTTCGCCATCCTACAATTCTGGCAAAAACGCAATGACTGTATCGAACATTACCAGTACAAACTCCATAGATAAACAACAACGCGTGCAACGATCATGATAAGATCGGTCGGTTTATTTGTAAGTTGCAATAAGACAAGTTGGGTTTATGCAGAGCCGGTGGCTGTTTAGACTGCTCATTTTCATGATGACGCCATTGCTGCTGGTTAATCGTTCGGTGTCAGCAGTATCAAGCGCCACTCGCCGCCGGTCCGGCCGGGCGCCATAGCCCTGAGGTCAGCGGCGACAGACTCCGATCGCCTCCCCTCCCAGCCACCCCCGCCCCCGCCCCCGCCCCCGCCACCGGACACCAGCCGACGTCAGCTGGAGAGGGGGGGGGGCACTGCTGCCACCCCCACTCGGCACAGGGCGGAACGGTGCAGCCAACGACGAGCTCCTCATGACTGAGTGCTGACGGGATGAGGCTTTTCCCGCTGTGGATGGATAAGTCCTGAAATGACTCGTGAAACAAACCCTGAAACCCACGCTGGGTCGGCTCGTGTGCTCAGTGCCCGTGTGTGCGTGGGTGCGAGTATGGGACGGTTTGGGACCGTGGTAAAATGGAGGACAAGGATTCTAAAAGCACCTCTAAATCTTCAATTCCCATGCACCCCTCATGCACCCCTCCAGACAGCACCCTCAGACAGCACCCCTCTCGGCGAGCCCGTCCGGCGGGCGGCCGGGACTCACCTGGCGGGCAGTTGCGCTCGTCGAGGCCGTCGGCGCAGTCGTTGACACCGTCGCAGCGTTTGGAGGAGGGCACGCAGCGGCTGACATCACAGAGAAGCTCGTCGGGCCGGCACACTGCGACCAGAGACCGCCGCTCTCAGGGTGTTGCCGGGAGAGTGGGGCACCGCCCTCATATCACCGTTCACAAGTCACTGATCAGTTGTTCCGGTGGTTAGGCGGAGTGGTTACTCTGGTTGGTGGTCACCGGTCATAGGTCATAGGTCACAAGGTCCTAACTAGGTCAACAACTACATACAGGTCGCTGGTCGGTGGTCACTGGTCAGAAGTAACCAGTCATCTGTCATTATAGCGGAAGTCATTAGTCGTCGCAGTAGCACCTATCTGGTATCCATCCACCACGGCACGTGCCACCGTTCAGTTGCCGTTGCCACTAGGATCATGCAGCCATATCGCAGCTCAGTGCACATTATACCCTATACCGCCCGCATCACAGCGTCCTTGCAAAGCATTTCATTGCACCAGATACTGCAAGCAAAAAAGCAACTAAAAAAACAAATATAAGCACTAAGTCTAAATAATGCTGTAAAAACGTACTTAAATAAAATGAAACAGCGCATGCAAATTACTATCTGTTGCAGTGATATTTTATGCAGACCTACAACATTTACAAATATATGCATCGAAGACACCTGCCTACATTTTTAATATAATCTATGGTCTTCACTGGACAAAGACGTCCATTTGTAGTAAAATTACGCAATAGTGGTGTGTGGGGAGGTGAACAGAAAATGTTAAAGAAATAACGAGAGTGAACAAAAAGACTAAAAGTGAGTGAGTTGGAATGGGTCTGAAGACCAGTAAAGGTGTCATTTTTAGCCGCCTATCCAAAACAAGAGAGAGAGAGAGAGAGAGAGAGAGAGAGAGAGAGAGAGAGAGAGAGAGAGAGAGAGAGAGAGAGAGAGAGAGAGAGAGAGAGAGAGAGAGAGAGAGAGAAAGAGAGAGAGACGGAAATGGAGACATAGACAGACAAAGACAGACGGGGAGACAGAGACAGGGACGGAAACAGGGACGGAGACGGAAACAGGGACGGAGACGGAGACAGAGACCGGGCGAGACAGAGACAGAGATAGAGACAGACAGGTAAAGAAATGGGAGATAGGGAACAGGGCAGGGGAGCGTTGAGTTCGTACCTTCCGACTGCGGACAATTGAGCTCGTCCTCGCCGCCGGCACAGTCGGGCGTGCCATCGCACTGCTGCACCTCACAGATGCGGCTGCCGTCGTTACAGACGGCCACGTTATCGCCGCGGCACATGGAGCCGACGCCGCCCCCGATGGACGGCCCTGCGGGCACCGCGGCCGCTCAGAGCCCAGAGCGCGAGCCGTGTGCGGACGGACGGACCAGGACGGCAGAGCGACCGAGCTGCGGTCCTTGAGACGGCAGGTGCAGCCCAGAGCGACCCAATGGCCTCAGCCCACAGCGACCTAACGGTAACCGAAGAACAGAGCGCCAGCACCGCGAGCAGCGGCGCTTCTGCCATCTACATTTGAGCCAAGTGTTCATCACTTGATATCTTTGCCTTTTAAGGCAAGGATGTAGTGATAATATAGAGATGCAATAAGGAATGCATACCTAGATATATTTTTGGGTACTGCAAACATAAAATATTACTCAATATTGAATTTATGAAAGGCTTGGGCCGATCGAATTTTAATTTAGGCGATTGCTTATAGGGCTATATGGAGATTGCTTTTCAGTGATATTTTCTAAAGGAACTACAAATCCAAAATTTCAAGAACTGAATAAAAGTTGACAAAGATTATCATCGTAAAAGCACTACGAAAATATCGAACTTTCATGTTTAAAAATGATTTTAGGACTAAAGTACGTATCGCTAAAGTACGTAGGACAAAAGTACGTATGCAAATGTTCGTACGCAAATATACGTAGGCGATAAAGTTCGTATGCCAAAAGTACGTACGCAAATGTTCGTACGCAAAAGTACGTATGCAAAAGTACGTAGTGCATAAAGTACGTATGTCAAAAGTACGTACGCAAATGTTCGTACGCAAAAGTACGTATGAAAAAGTACGTAGTGCATAAAGTACGTATGCTAAAAGTACGTACGCAAATGTTCGTACGCAAAAGTATGTATGCAAAAGTACGTAGTGTAAAATGTACGTATGAAAAAAGTACGTACGCAAATGTTCGTACGAAAAAGTTCGTATGCAAAAGTACGTAGTGTATAAAGTACGTATGCCAAAAGTACGTACGCAAATGTTCGTACGCAAAAGTACGTATGCAAAAGTACGTAGTGTATAAAGTACGTATACCAAAAGTACGTACGCAAATGTTCGTACGCAAAAGTTCGTATGCAAAAGTACGTAGTGTAAAAAGTACGTATGCCAAAAGTACGTACGGTTCGTATGCCAAAGTACGTAGTGTATAAAGTACGTATGCTAGAAGTAGGGTATAGTAGAATAAGTTGAGCCACTTTTTCTTTATTGCTGCTCTGTTGCCATACTACAGGGAAGTCATGATAAATTCATATACCAAATAATATAGCTTTGTCCATTTCGCCCATTTACTCATCGAGAAATTTTGCTATGCCTTGTAACAAGTGCTCATTAAATAAAGAATAAGAAAGGTATTACACATTGATCAACTTAACCCAAGGGTGGGGTACGTACTTAATACCCTGCGTACATTTGCTATACGTACTTTTGTCCGTGACGTACTTTTGTCCACACGTAAGGTAGACCGGGGCAAGTCTCCCCGCCGAGGTAAAACGCCTCACCGATGTTTCTCGGAACTGGCAGGGTTCTGGGGAAAGATCCTCTCTTCTGTTAACCCGGCCGGGCCCGGGGGGTAATTCCAACCACGGCAGCCCGGGGAGGGGCGTTTTTCGCCCCCTGTCTAACTCCGTAAATAAGAGAGCTACGCAAACAAAAGCAATACCAAACGAAAGGTCCTTATGAGACGCTTCTAAAGCACCCAAAATTTTTGACCTCAGGTCAATTTTCAAGGTCAGAGGTCAAGGTCAAAGACAAAAACCGGCACATGTGTAGTGATCTCAAAGTGAGCGTTCTAGAGGACGGCAGGATGCATAAAACTGGTAAAATTGGGTGAAACGAAAGAAGGGAATCATCTGAGAATTCCGAAAATGTGCTCAACATCAAAGGTCAAGGTCAAGGTCATGCTCAAAATTGACCTCAAACTTACACTTTTTCGTACATCTTGTGTGTCAACTTCCAAGATGTTTTGAAATGTTTTGAGGCTTATCAGGTCCCTATTTGTGGTTCATCTCACGATACAAGGCTGCTCAAAGGTCAAGGTCACAGAAGAGAGTCCTTGCTAGAGACTATTTCACTGATTCAAGTTATTAACCCGCGCCCAGATGGGGTCTGCCGAGCAACGCGGTCTGATGGGGGGGGGGGCCATTTTGGCCCCCCCCCCTCAGATCTCGAGAACCACGCAACATAGCGACAAGCGGTAAACGGTGTTGGATAGCCCCAACGGGGAACTACCTTGTGACCCAATTTCATTGACCTCGGTCAAACCGATGACGTCACAGGTCAGGTCAAAGGTCGAATTTTCACCGTTTACAGGCATTTCAAGAAATGCGTTGTAAAATCGTGTAAAATGCATTTCATTGAAAATCATCGATGGGGAAATGTTCTTCAAACACATATTTTGCTATTTGAGGTCACTGATACCAGGTCAGGTCACAGAGGTCAGGTCACTGGGGGGTCACAATATGAAAGTGTCGTGTGATACATGTTTTATGGTCCATTTTACATGACAAATGCGATTATGTGGGTCAGACAGACTTTAGGGCCAGCTTAGGTCACGTTTTGGTCAAGGTCAGGTCAAGGTCAGGTCAAGGTCAGGTCAAATTAGGTCAAATTTCAAAGTTGATATTTTTGCATAAAATGGGTATCGATTCGATGCAGCTCGTCACGGGGAGTTCAATGGTGGTCTCCGTTTTGCGCTACGAGGTCTATAATTGCTAAAAATTGAGTTCAAAAATTTGACGTCATCAATTTTTAACAGTTTTTTCGCTATAACTTGGCCAAAAAAAGAGGTATCGATCTAAAATTTGGTATGTATATCGAAGAGCGCAGGGACTATCACATATATTCCGGTTTTTTCGAAATTCGAAAAAATTTTGGAAATTTTTTGAGTTTTTCTAAAAAAATCAATTTTTTGATTTTTGGGGGTCAAAATCCAAAAATTTCGAAAATCCGAGATAGCAGTTTTGTAGCGCCGTCTTTTCTCTACACAACCACATAAAGAACTTTAAAATTGCTTGTTAACTGTAGAATTGGTGAGCGTTTCAAGATGTCATGTTTTTTGCTCATTTTTACTCGAACATGACCTCAGTTTGACCTCAATAACTCCTGACCTGAGGTGACCTGTGACTTGAAATTTTGTGTGAAGGTGTCAAATTGATGTCCGGAAAGGTACCCAAAATTTGGCGGCGCTGCGCGCCGCCGTTTTCTCGCTATTTAAGAAAAACCACAGGGGGGGCAAAATGCCCCCCCCCATCAGGGCGCGGGTTAATAATAAATAAGACAATTTTGCCATCCGGAGGCTCTAAATAAAGGCTTAGAGGAAAATAGATGCCAGATTCGTGATCAGCGGGTACGAATCCATCATAAACGACTTTTGATGTGTCAAGGTCAAACAAAGGTCATTCGAGGTCACATGAGGTCAACATAAAACTTGCCCTTTTCCAAACAAAATATATATCATTCGACGCGGCTTGACAAGACAAATGCGATGGTACCACTGCCGTAGCTCTAGGACCATTTTTGTCGAAGTTATTTGCGAAAAACTAAAACCACAGCTCGGGGTCGTTGACCTGACTTCTGATCTCAGGTCACTAAAACTATTTTTGCATTTTTTTCTAGGTCAAATGCTACACAACCGTGCTCGTAATTTGTCTTTATCTTTAAAACTCTATTTTTAGCAGCTATTTGAAGTTCGCGTCTGTGACACCGAAGTTTGCCGTGCAGGGGTCTAGAAAAATCGACTTTGTGACGTCATCAATGGGGCTAGGTCCAAATTTTTTATTTCAGAAGATGCCAAATTGATGATAGAAAAGGTACTGAAAATTTCGCTTTCCTATCCCTAAGCGTTCGGGAGCTATCGCAAATATTCGCCAGGAGGGGGGGCGAAAAACGCCCCCCCCGGTCCCGCGAGGGTTAATCTAGTGTATGGGGCTTCTTGCCTCAGGCCGTGGGGCGTTTTGCCCTGGGGTTGGGGCAAAATGCCCCATTTGCAGTTGCTTCACAAAGCACTTCCTAGCTGGGAGTCCGATCATGTGAATGAATTTGAGGGATGGAATTTAAAGTAAAATGTCCAAAGAACACATTGAGCACAAATTTGGCCTTCCAGGTGATGTAGGACAAAAGAAGGTACCTATGTAGCGAAATAAATTATCTGGGGCGTCTTGCCCAAGGCTACCCTACTTTATACCCTACGTACATTTGCTATACGTAGGCTTTTGTACGTGACGTACTTTTGTCCATACGTACTTTATACCCTACGTACTTCTGCGATACGTACTTTTGTCCGTGACGTACTTTTGTCCATACGTACTTTTTACCCTACGTACATTAGATATACGTACTTTTGTCCGTGACGTACTTTTGTCCATACGTACTTTATACCCTACGTACTTCTGCGATACGTACTTTTGTCCCTGACGTACTTTTGTCCATACGTACTTTATACCCTACGTACTTCTGCGATACGTACTTTTGTCCCTGACGTACTTTTGTCCATACGTACTTTATACTGTACGTACTTCTGCGATACGTACTTTTGTCCTTGACGTACTTTTGTCCATGCGTACTTTATATTGTACGTACTTCTGCGATACGTACTTTTGTCCCTGACGTACTTTTGTCCATACGTACTTTATACTGTACGTACTTCTGCGATACGTACTTTAATCCTACGTACTTTTGCTTACGTACTTTTCTCCTACGTACTTTAGCGATACGTACTTTTGTCCGTAACCCTTTAAAAATGTAGGCATCCGTTGAGTCGGTGGTCGTACTTAATCTGCCGTCCTGGTTCGCTCGAGGCCGTCAGACATGCACTGTAGCGCCACCAAGGCAGCCAAGGTAAGGTTAGCTTCTATCGGCGGCCAGTCACAGCCATCGTGCACCAGGCCATCGTCCTGTGACAGTTAGTGCAGGTGAAACTGTACACACTCCAACGTGCGGGCGGCCTGCCGGCGCACTACGCACAAACCAAACCTACAGCACATCAACCAGTCCATTAGGCGCATGCAAACTTAAAAAAGGTAAGTAGCGATCGTCTATGCAAAACAACATTCCCATTCAGTTGGCGTTAAGCGTTCGTGCCGGTCAGCTATGTAAACTGGGCGCTGTGCAGGCTCCGTCCATGACCTTAGTGGCTCTCCCATGACTTAGCACCGAGTCCTGTCAACACTGCCGGTCCCGTTCCCGTCATACACCCGCTAACGGGTTATGCTCCCCAAACAACGTGCTTTCGGGCCCTCTCCCCATCGGCCGACCTAGCCTCTTTCCCCTGACCAGCTAGTACACCCAGTGGCCGTCTTCTAGCTCTCTGAGCTGGCCTGGCCGGGGCCGGGGTGGAGCCGGGACCGGGACAGGGCCTTACCTCCCGGCCCGGCCGGCGCGGCCGTGGTCAGCGGACAGCCGAGCTCGTCCGAGCCGTCGGGACAGTCGGTGCGCCCGTCGCAGCGCGTCTCCTGCGGCAGGCACTCGCCGCTGCGGCAGGCCAGCTCGAACTCGGTGCAGGCGCGCGGCGGTGCCACCGACGGCGCCGTCGGCGTGGCTGCGTGCAGAGCGACGCGACCCGTCGGCTCCAACATAGTCGCCGTATAGGGGACGCCACCATGCACAGGCGACCACCGCACGGAGCCAACGCCACACAGCAAAACTACCAGGGCAACTGCTACTGCTACTACTATGACTAGACTCAACAAAACAGCGCTAGTGAACACTAGTTTGCTGGAAACATTAAAGAAATGCAAATAAGACAGCCAGAAAACACAAGAGCAAGCATCACGTCTCACACGCAAGGAGGGAGCTAAGAATCAACTAAAAGTTACAGCGGATTTAATTCAATAAAAGAACAGACGAAATCTCGGTTTATCTTTTTGTTGCTGGTGGCGTGCATTCTATGTAGTGCAACCACTAATAACATGCACCTGCCAGCCGAGAAGAATGCTTTCAATTTTCCTTCAAACTTCAATGAAATAATACCATCAGTGTTTCTATACGACTACCACGAGAACCAGCGCGGCTACGTCAAAAACGTTTCCAAAATCTACTATATAAGCACATAAAAGCACAGCCGAAAAAGAAGTGCGCGAACTACCGGACCGCGAAGTCACCGACTGCTCACTTCCGAATCGGCGCAGCTGGAAGTCGATGAATGCCTTTCCGCCGAGCTGGCGCCGGTTTCGCGCCAGCTGCAGCAGCCGCTGGAACTCTGTCTGGTCGTCGAACGCCTGCGAGGTCAAGTCGACCGTGTAGTCGCACGAAGAGGCCACGTAGCCCGGACTGCCGCCGAATAAGTCTGTCAGTTCGTCATGGCCGGGGGACCAATGCTCCTGCGGCGCTGCTAAACGCACTGGACGCTCCACTGGTGCATCCGACGGTCAGTGGGAGTCAACTCAGCAGGCATTAATTCGGCACTGGAACAACCCATTGACATCATCGGGGCACAGTAGGAGTCACCTCGCGTCTTATCAACTCGGAATATCGGACAAAGTGAACAGGGGCAAATGGTGGACCGTTTTGATTCTAACTCCAGCCATCCTGCACCTGATACAGAAGTCATTGAGAGTTGATGCGCATAACTATGATAGGAGGATGTGGAACCAGAAAGGACACGCACGTCTAAAACCAGCCCCAACGCCTCGATAGATGGCTGTATACTGCGGAGAGTCGTCTGTGTGTTACTGTTGACCCACCTGGCCTGTATGACGGTGGCCAGCTGACGTCCGGTGGTGTCTACGTAAAGCTGCTCCACGGCCTCCCGCAACCAGTCGGCCTGTTCCACCGATAGACACTCCTCTCCTACCGTCAGCGTCAGCCGGTAGTATACTGCCGGAGGGGTGAAAGGAGGCACGGTCAGTGTACCGTCAGTGGCAGGCGGTAGAACAATGGCGGAGGGGGAGAGAGAGAGAGGGAGAGAAAGAGAGAGAGAGAGTGTGAGAGAGAGAGAGAGAGAGAGAGAGAGTTGCCATGGTTAAATCACTGCTCGCATTAGACGGTACCTAGGTAATAAACTTACGCATCAGAGATATAAGCTCTGATATGGGGAAAGCTTGAAAAGATGTTAAAAAAATATGCACTGTCGGTGTATAACAAAAGCAAAGAAAGTGAGTAGGACCTAGGGAACTGGAAAACTATCAACTAAAGCGCGTCCGGTGTCCCCCGTACTCAGTAGGTAGGTAAGCGAACAGATCAGTTTAATGCACGAGTCAAATATTTGATCTCTATTTTCAGACTAATCTGTTCTTCAGCATCATTGTGTTTCGCGTGAGTTTCCACGGAAAATTGCTGAATTTATAGCAAAAGTTAAAGAGGATCAAACTATGTCAGGGGGTCGGACGGGATTAGCAAAGACCGTTCGAGAATAAACAAGTCATTTGTATTCGAGCTGTCCCAGTTAGAGCTAAGCCGTCAGCGAGATGGCTACAAAACTTGGCCGTCCTCCCCCCCCCCTCTGGCTCCTCGGTGCTCCGCAGTTGAAGTCTACCGATTACGGAACCGAGCTGGCGGAGACAGCAGATCGCATAGGTCGGCCGTCCACGGCTGCTGGCGGCTACAAGTTTAATCCCGAATGTACTCACGTGTGCAAGATCGAATATCATTATATGCATAAATGTTCACATGTTCTCTATCTATGCTACGCAGATGCCACTCAGACACCTAACGCGCCACTCGCGCCTCCCGTATCATCTGTCTTGCGGTGCAGTCTGCTTTCAGGCGCTGACTACTAGTGCCATCTAGGAGCAAGGCTGTAAGTAGGGATAACGTATCGAGCCGGCCGCTTTCACAACGCACGCCGATACGAGAGAAGTTCTGAAATCGTGCTGGCTAGTTGCTCAAGCTTTACGGTGATATAATGAGTGTTTTGTATGCGAACCTGAAGAGCCTACGATTCAAAAAAAGCGTCATCGATGCGATTTTGATGGCTGTGCTGTCTGTCCTTATTTTCGCTTTTGGCAAGTCAAGAGCATTTGAATTTGTTTGTTTGCCATCTATGGCAAACAAACAAATTCGTAAGACCTATAGGTCTTACGAGTAGATGCACATCAGTCGCTTTTACATTTTGTTCGGAATTACAAAACCATAGTAATCGCTAGTTATAGGCCTGGTGTCCGTAGGACTTTGTAGGTATTCTTCTTAGGTACTTTATATGATTGAAGCCTTAGGCACATCCAAGTTAGGCAAAAAGAAATCGACCCCCGACCAAATTTAGTTGGCAGGTTATGGAAAATCCCTGTTAGGAGTAACTTCTAGCGCTCTGTCACCTGACTTCCCTATTCACCCACAGACTCTGTATGATAAAGGGCAGACTCTTGGGAACCGTCATCTCGGACACCATCCGACCGATCTCCCTCGATTCGGTTTCACCCCTCCCCCCCCAAAGATATTGCTAATTTTTGGCGAACCGATATATTTGTCAAGTTCGCCTATTCGATTGGCTTTCAGGACACAGTCTTCTTCGGCATCTATTGCGTTCGGGATCGTGTTGCCCGATCAACGGATGTCAGCCAAGTCGCAGAGGCAAAACTTACCCAGCCCGGTGGGGACGGGCGGCACTTACCCAGTTCACTCTGTTTTACTGTACCCAGCCCGGTGGGCGCCGGGTGACACTTACCCAGCCCGGTGGGCGCAGTGGACACGGGAGGCTTACCCAGCCCGGTGGGCACCGTGACTGTGGGCAGGGGCGGCACTTACCCAGTCCGGAGGGCGCCGTGGGCACGGGCGGCTGCGTGGGCCGCACACCGACGCGCGGAGTGACACCGGGCCCGGAGCCCTCCACCAGGTCCTCGTCGTCCGTCGGCATGGTGGGGTCCGGCTGCTCGGGCAGGCCGTCCCCGGAGCCCGGACCCACGCCCTCGCCACCGTTATAGTCATTGTAGTCGCCGTAGTCGCCGTTGTAGTCGCCGTTGTAGTCGCCATTATAGTCGTCTGGGTATTCGTAATCGTCTTCGTCGTCCGGGCCGGCGAGATCCCAGAACTGGCGTTTGTGTCGGGTCCGCACTGGACTGAAGGAGAGGGGCGCCGCCTCATCGAACGTCAGGTCACTGTCAGCGCGCTGCAACACAAACACACGGGGTCAGTGTCGGCCCGCAGCAACACAAACACACAAACACTCAGCTTAGGTTTATACTTGGTGGTAGTGTGAATTGACAAACAGGTTCAATACCGATGGCAAAACAATCAATTGATCTGACATTTTCACTTTAGCACCGAATGCTGACTTTGTTTTTAATGAACAGGCGCGCACACGACACCTATTTCTCGCCCTTCGTGAGTCACACTCGGTGACCGCGCGGCGGGCGGGCGGCCATCGAAGCCGGATCGGTCGTATAGAAAGGTCACCTTCGCGCCCAAGTGCCACAACGTCTCCTAGCTGCGACAGCACAGCACATGTACTAGCTGCACAAAGTGCACGGTGATGGTGGAGCGATGGAGCGCGCGTTGGGTTGGGCTGTTGGGTGGTGGGGCGGTGTGGCGCCCTCCCCATGTCGTATATCAGTGTGCAGGTGTGTGAAAAACCGGTGCCTGATGGATGTCTGAGGAATAAGGGGACTCTCCCTGATACACGAGAGAAGCTATCCGCCAGCAGTCTGAGAGCTCCACGATCCATTGACACTAAAAAAAAACTCGTCTTTTACATACACTCTGTTCTACAATCCACCATACTCTCAAGTGGCTCTCAGTTATCAACACTCTTGGTGCCTCTGGGAGCTCCCATCTACACTCAGAGAGTTCCTACGGGCTCTCCGAGAGGTCCCACCGACACTGTGAGTCCTAAGGTGGGAGGGACGCCGCCGTCCTGGCGGGAGTGCCTTGGCAAATCCCGGTGACAATGCTGATGGGAGCCGACGATACGACGCTAGAAGTCCGGACAGCCAGTTGGCTGGCGCGAGATAACACGTCTCTGCCGCGCCTCTCCGGGCTCGGCAGGCAGAATGGAGCGAGCAGCGGGGATACGACGGGGACGAGACACAGAGAGTGGTCGGAGACAGCACGGTGGGGACGGCCAGCCGAGAGAGACTGTGGCGGTCGGCACACGGTTCCACGCCACGGCGTAAACAGCGACCGCAGCCAGCCCGACAAAAGGCCGGCAACACGTCACGGGTCAGCGCTCGGCGACGGCAGAGGTCAGCGATGTCAGAGGTCAAGGTCGTCCGGGGTGAAGTCGAACAACAGAGTTGCCAGAGGACATTACCTGCCTACATCACTCGGACGTCTGAACGAAATCCTTGTTCGTTCGATATTTCACACAGGCGTATGTGTTAAATCCATTCGTCGTTTAATGCATTAAACGGTCAAGAAAACAGAATCCGGGAGAGGACATGATTTCTGATAAGCACTTCGGTGGTAGATAAGATAAGCGGTGAGTTTGCAGTTAAACGTTACCTTATTATGAAATCAAAGTGCCATCAATTAGCCCAGCAAAATATTTGTATGAGTAGCTCGAGGCAACAAATAAAATCGATAGTGATGGGCTAATTGATGGAGCAGCACGCTATGGTCGGTGCTTTAACACTCGGCCGGCCATCACAACATACGGAGCTGACCGAGTGATGGCGGAACCTAGCGTGTCGCCGTGCACTCGTGCTACTGCCTGTGATGACAGCGGTACCATTCAGCGTGCAGAAACCGTCCGATATACTGCGCTTGCCGTAACGCCCTCGTCACTTAGCTGCACGCGATGAGCAGGGGTGCGTACTGATAATTGTGATTTGACTGCGACGTAACGGCAAAAAGAGAAATGTTATCCAAAATAAATTGCAACCATGGTCAACAGTGGCCCAAATTGATCCCGGGGATAGACAGGGCCAAGTGATTCGGGGACGAAACACAAGGACCCTATCGACACCACACAACTGAAGGAAAGAGAGGAGAGCCTAGCAATACTGAGCACGATGCACAAGAGTCTAGCAAGTAAGTAAGGGCCTGATCGTGACAGCCTAGCAATTTATTGGCGGAGTACGACAAGCCTTAGCTAACGAACCAGAGATGGATTTCGAGGGCCCAGCAATCCAAAGTCGGTGCACGAGAGCCTATTGCTCCACAGTTGGTGCTCCAGAGCCCAGCAATCCCAAAGTGCTCAGCGGATCTACACTACTAAGCCGCAGTGTAGCTCAGCAGTCTCGCTACACTGCAGGGTGTCGATCGCGTCGGCCTGTCGGCGGTGGCCTGTCAGCGACGATGGCGCGGCGGTCCGTCGGCGGTGGCGGTGCGCGTCCGTCGGCGGTGGCGGTGCGCGTCATTAGGCAGCGCCGCGCGCCGCGACTCCGGTCATTTGGCAGGTCATGTTTATGAATGACGATAGCCGCTGGAGCAGGGTGAACAGGCTCCCTCAGACGGACCAGGGCCGCCTATCGGCCGGACGGCGCTCGGTACCCTGCAGACCTGCAACCTCGTCTGCACGGCTCCGTTAGGACTGCTGCCGTCCGGACAGCTGTCCCTTCAGGACTGATGTGCTGCACTGCAGCAGCTACCCCGTGATAGCAGCTGCTAGTTCTGAAAACGGCTGCTCTGTTAAAGCAACTGCCCTGTGGCTGTGACTTGTGAGAACAGCTGCTCACTGAGAAATTCTTTTCCGCGCGAAGATAGTCATGATCCAAATAAGGGCTGTTCTCCTCTGAGAGAATTGCTGCCCCGCCTCTCGTGAAAACAGCTGCTCTGCGCGAGGACTTCTCCGCTATGTGGAATGCATCCACATCCCGTTCCATCTGAGGTGCAAGGACGGTAGCAGTGCCGATTAGCTGTCCACATGGGACCACGCCACCCACGTCCCAGCAGCCTCCAGGGTGCCTACCCTACAAAAGACGTACCTCAATTCATTACTTGTAAACACACACCCACTAATCTCCTACCGCTCTGAGACGAGGACCGGCAGCCAGCCGTGTAATATCCATATGACATCAGCCCATTACACGCTGACGGGAGCACAATCGACGACGTGAGCTCGACGGAGAGACAGCCGAGCCTCCACAGCGTCAGCGGCATCGATTTTACCCGAATCTCTGCAGACACCCAGTTTCAGCCGGCAGACACTGGGTTTCAGGGTGCAGACAGGGTGCGTGGACACGCTGTGTAGGTGTCAGTATCCGCTGCATGCGCGTCCGGTGGATACGTAGCTGCTGCAGGTGTCCGGTGTGTCCGGTGGACGCGACGTTTCTAGGTGCGTCCTTGCCGTGCTGTCCGCCGGGCGGTGACGCGGGAACTGACGTGCAAGAATTCAATTGGTAAATGAGCTATGGCCTGTGGTCCATATTTCTAGTCGAGCTGAGGGACTGGCCGCTGCCAAAGACAGCCCGCCGACATCTCGGTAAATTAGCTACAGTACAGCCACTGCCTGTTAGTGGCATGTGCAGCATTTATACAGAGTTTAGATAACCTCTGATCGCCTGCAGCAGGTGATAGGCGAAATGTGCCCAAATATGAAGTGAAAATAAAAATGGAAATTAGGATATCAACCAAGTACCCAGTACCTACGGAGTGCTATTTAAACATCCTCCCATCATCTCGCAGTCTTGCCTAAGAACTCCTTCATTGTAAGACGTTTTAAATACAGGTAAATATATCGTGTCGTGAGGCTGAGTTTCAGTGGTCCGTTGCAGAAGGCGTGGGGAAGTCGGTGCTGTGTGTGCGGCTCCCACCTCAGCGGCCGGTGCTCGGTCCGCGCAGAGTCCGTGATCCCCATACAGACTGATCCCTCCCCTTCCCGCCCCTCCACGGTCAGACAGCGGTTCATTACATGCTGATGAGCGTCTGGTCTGATACTGATACCGGTCGGCGGGCCGGCCCACCCCTTCCCTGCCCCCCCCCCCCTCCGACATCCGCGGACGGCCGCGAGGTAGGTCAGTACCAGCGGGTATCACTGCTGTCTGGTAATAGATGGCACATCTTATGCTCAGGGCTCGCGTTAAATTGGTTAAACTAGCTAGTATCGATTTATTCTGATTCGTCTGGGCGTCTGACGCTGAATTTTGCATCGATTTTCTTTTATTTCGTCTGGCCCTCGGACGACGAAGATGAAGTCAGCCAAGTGTGCCTATATCGCGAACAAAGCCCGTCGAGCCGTCTGGTCTCCCTGTGAGGCGACTTCAGACGCAGTGTGACATTAACGCCGCAAAAGACAACAGTGGCGCATATCGCTGGGCATTATGTAAATGGCAGAATTATGCGTATTCATAGCGCAGTGAGCCGTCGAGCGACGAGCCGCCGCCGCGCCTCTCGCCGTTTGTCATAGTTAGACTCGCGCTACCGAGGCAAAGCACGCGCCGACAACGCCCCCGGCCGCCCTTGGTCGGAATCAACGGATCACTGTCAGCAGAGGGGGGAGAGGGGGGCTGACACTCGGCGGCTCGCACCTCGCGGCCCATTGAGGCGGAAACGGAGCGGCTCACAAGCCGTAACATTGAGTGAGGCGGGAGTCTGAGTCCCTCAATTACACTGATGAGACGGAGTGAATTCCCTAGTCTGAAGTGGAGTGGGATTCCGTCCCCCTCCTTTATAACATGAAGTGAAGAGGGAGTTATAGTCTCCTCCCCAGACAGTCAGGGAAGCGGAAGTCGAAATCTAAACAGGTCCGCATAGGCACTCCTGCATCAGCCGCCGGGTGAGAAGCCTCGCAGGTCAGAGTAGATGAATTCACGAGCAGCAGTACTGTGTTGATACGCCAACATACACACCGCATAGTGCTGGTGCAGGAAGTGATCAATCAGGTAGCTTGCATAGTACGGTTGCATCTGAGTGACTGCTACCGAAGTTCGTGGACCACCAGCATTGTCGAGGTGACCCGGCGGACCCAATATAAACCGACAGGCCAGCCGGGGAGGCGCGGACAGTGCGATTTAATCGGCCGGATTCGGAGGTTGCACAGTTCCCAAGGCTTCCTCTTTGGTGTCGACCGGGTCCGTCCAACGGCGCAGAATGGAAGAAATGAATTGGTCGGCGGGAGCTCCGAGAGGTAGCCCCTTAGAGTCTCACTGCACTGGCAGACCCTATCAGTGGAAATTCCATGGAGACCCAGCACTGGGGCATCGGGCCATTATTACGACAAGGAAGCCCTCT